TCGCCAAACAATGATCCAACATGGCGGACAGAGTTGATGTGTTTGTTGTATGACTTAGAGAGAATATTTCAGCTTAATGAAACGTCTTTTTGATTGTGACTTCAACCTAAATGATAGAACAGCTCAAAATCAACATGTCTACCTCTTTTTGAAGCTGTTTGTGTAGTTTTGACAAAGATATAAAGCAATTTGTAGAGTTTGTGAGGTCTTCATTCATCATAGTTGGTGCATATCATGCTCAATTTCTCKGTCAAAATAACGCTAAAATCTAAAATATTCTCACAATACAGAAGAACATTTATTGTAGAATTCCTGAATTGTATTATTGAGGCAAGCTGCAGCTCTGCTTTGAAWCATTTTGAGATTAAATCACCGCAACAAACACACTGCTTGTCTTCCCGGTTGTACTGCTTCGAGTTACTTCTACGCAAATAATATCATATCAATAAAACCTTTTATTACTAAAAAGACAGTTTCTGYTTTTCTGATTAGTAAATATTCTTTTTAAAACAAAGCAGAATTCTAAAAAATCGTGATTGAAATTAAAATTATATGTTAGAAGAAATGTTTGTTTTGTTTGGCCACGTGRACCAAGTTTGCTTCASTTTTGCATGGATGGTTTCAAAGTTTAGGMAACAACTATCCACRCAAAACCATAGTTAYCTGAGGCTWAACATGAACATTTAACAAATTTCATATTTATAAAAAGATAGCCACAAAAACATTAGCTGTTATATGTATTATTTGTTCTCTATAATGCACCAGGGAGACCGCTTTCGAGTTGAAATTCTTAGGGGATTGTTAGAAAGCTTGAAGACTAATATGAAAATGAAGTCTGACCAGAAATGTGAAATTTTCAAGCCCAAGACTATACGAAAATACATATAGAAAAAGACTACGAAAATACATATAGAAAAACTATATTTCGTAGCTAATATATACGAAAATACAGCTAAGAACATTTATTGATTGTTATAGAGTTATATAGGTTCTAATAAATTCGCTAGTGTTGCGTGAATCACATGTGAGGTCATGGAAATACCAATACCGAGGGATTGTAAAAAAGTACTACTGTCCGAGTATAGAGCCATTGAACATTACTGTTGGGCGAGTATTTTAGACTTTATTATTTCAGGCTTGTGATTCTTTGACTATAATTTGAAACCTCTCCACAGTCAGCACTAAAAAAATCATGATTGCACATTTTATTTCAAATAAACAAAGAAGCATTTAGTTATTGACTTTCTAGCATGTGGTGGCTCCTAAAAGAGCCGTTGTTTTTGTTTAAAAGAGAACTAGTCTAAGCTCTCTCGCCACGGATTCGGCGGGCAAGCTGAATGTCCTTGGGCATGATGGTGACTCGCTTGGCGTGAATGGCGCACAAGTTGGTGTCTTCAAACAGGCCAACCAAGTAAGCCTCGCTAGCCTCCTGAAGAGCCATGACAGCTGAACTCTGGAATCGAAGATCAGTCTTGAAGTCCTGAGCTATTTCACGGACGAGACGTTGGAAGGGCAGCTTGCGGATCAACAACTCGGTAGACTTTTGGTAACGACGGATCTCACGAAGAGCGACTGTACCGGGTCTGTAACGATGAGGTTTCTTGACTCCACCAGTTGCTGGGGCACTTTTACGTGCTGCCTTGGTGGCAAGTTGTTTTCGGGGAGCTTTTCCTCCGGTAGATTTACGAGCGGTTTGTTTTGTACGAGCCATAATTTCTTGTTCCGTTTACAAATTTTAAACTGATAAATTCAGGATCACAGCAATGATTCTTATATTTGGCGCTCTTGAATCCTATTGGTTTAGGTAATACTGCTTTCTTATTGGGTTAACTGTACATGTGCTCAAACATCATTGGTTCGTTTATTGTCCCGCCATTTTCCAAACTGCTAAAACTAGAAGCTCAGTTATTTTCTGGCTTCAAAAAACACTCGATGCTTTTATTGAACTGCCATGAAAACTGAACTGTGGGAACAATATTTTGAAAACGTTTGTTTGTTAAAACTTGACTGTTTTTTACAGTTTCTATACAACAATATTTCCATGTAAACTTTGGGTTTCAGAAGCATAAAACTCAAAACAAGGATCAGTTGTCTTCGCAGCATAATTTTAATGAGGCGTTAATAATGTGTTGGCATGCCTATTGTCAGCTTATTAACCAATCATGTCGCACTATACACTGTTTACTACGAGGTTCGGTAGCTTGTATAAATCTTCTGTAGTTTTGCTCGTGAAGTATCATTCTACTTTAGAAAGAAACCTGTAGAAACCTGTAAACATGACTGGAAGAGGTAAAGGAGGAAAAGGTCTAGGAAAAGGAGGCGCTAAGCGTCATCGTAAGATCCTTCGGGATAACATCCAGGGAATTACCAAGCCCGCCATCCGTCGTCTTGCTCGYCGTGGTGGAGTCAAGCGTATTTCTGGCTTGATCTACGAAGAGACCCGWGGYGTCCTTAAAGTTTTCCTTGAGAACGTGATCCGTGATGCTGTCACCTACACCGAGCACGCCAAGAGAAAGACYGTCACTGCCATGGACGTCGTCTACGCTTTGAAACGCCAAGGACGTACTCTGTACGGTTTTGGTGGTTAGATGACTTGATCATCGAATAAACAACGGCTCTTTTAAGAGCCACCACATAATATAAAATCAATGACATAATGCAGAAATCTAGAATTCAATGTTACCACACATCTTTGAGTTACTAGATTAACGAAATGAAATAGAAACTCCTTGAATGTATGTACGATGATCCGAGCATTTGAAAAATTATTTTGGTGTGTCGACGGAATTTAGTTCGGTTATTTTGCGCGGGAGTGAGCAAGCCACGCGCGGTTTCCTTTCAATGTACCGTGCGAATGCATGACTGCGCGCCAAAATATCACTTTGTGAAAGCTTCTCTCTAATTTGATACTGACTAAAGTTCATTTTTGAAAGAAAGGATTTATATATAAAACTATTTCTGCTTTTCAAAAAAAGTCAAAGATCTACACAACCGCGCAGAGTATAAATGGTCGCTACTAGCAGTAAACTAGTGTGAGCTGCGTCGGTGTTTCTAAAGGAACAGTTGCGTAGAGAAAAAAAAATAACACAGTAAAAAAGTAGGTGAGCTTTCCAGTCTATTTGCGTCTTCATTTAAAACTAGTTTAAGCGATATCAGGAGCAAAATATAGTATTAACCCGGCTTTATTTGTAGTATGCTAAGGAAGAGAAAGAGAGAAATGCTAGCTGCGCAGCTTATGTATTATTACATCAATCAAAGCATTTGGTCATGATCTTTCGATTCATGTGGTGGCTCCTAAAAGAGCCGTTGTTTTGTTTAGCAGTAAACTGCTTAAGATGATTTCTTCTCAGCCTTCTTAGGTAAAAGGACGGCYTGGATGTTKGGAAGAACACCACCTTGAGCAATGGTGACACCACCAAGAAGTTTGTTCAACTCCTCGTCATTTCTGACAGCCAACTGCAAGTGACGGGGGATGATTCTGGTCTTCTTGTTGTCACGGGCAGCGTTGCCGGCCAACTCGAGAATTTCGGCGCTCAAATACTCGAGAACAGCAGCCAAGTAGACTGGAGCACCAGCACCAACTCTCGCAGCGTAGTTGCCTTTGCGGAGATGACGATGGATACGACCGACTGGGAACTGAAGCCCTGCACGGGATGATCGAGTCTTGGACTTGGTGCCCTTAGCTTTACCTTTTCCACGGCCAGACATTTTGACTTGCAGTTATCTTTTGAATGATAGTTCAAAATAGAATGACAGAAAAGTTTGCTCAAGGGTTTTATACCGAGAGCTTGAATTGAATAGGATCGAAATCCACCAATCAAAAACCAGATCTGATGAGCAAAGGTCATTTAGTTTGAATGAAGATCATTTGCATGTTATTTCCACCAATCATGTTTGTGTATTGGTGATCCGCATAATAATTAATCCTATCAGAATTACATATAAGTACGAGTTTTCCCTGAGAGTCACCATCATTTGATTGTGATAATCTACAAAGTAGCTAACAAGAAAATGCCGCCAAAACCCGCTGGAGGAAAGAAAGGTGAAAAGAAAGCCGGCAAGAAGGCCGCGCTTGGWGACAAGAAGAAGAGGTCACGAAGAAGAAAGGAAACCTACTCCATCTACATCTACAAAGTCATGAAACAAGTCCATCCCGACACCGGTATCTCAAGCAAAGCCATGTCCATCATGAACTCGTTTGTTCAGGATGTCTTCGAGCGCATCGCTGGTGAAGCTTCCCGCCTCGCTCACTACAACAAGAAGTCAACCATCACATCTCGTGAGATTCAGACCGCTGTTCGTCTTCTTCTTCCCGGTGAATTAGCCAAGCACGCCGTCAGTGAAGGCACCAAGGCTGTCACCAAGTACACCAGCAGCAAGTAAACAGTTTTCTGTTTGCTTACAAAACAACGGCTCTTTTAGGAGCCACCCACATGAATCGAAAGATCATGACCAAATGCTTTGCCGAATACTGCTATTATAAGCCTTGCTTATTTCTATAAGGATCAACTGTTAAATGTTTTTCTGCAAATATGTATGAAAGAAGTCAAGTTGTGATTAGCATTTGGCGCCAAAACGTTGCCATCACCTACGGCTGATGGACGTCCTTCCTTCGTGCTCCGCGTTACCCTCACTTTTGGCGATCTATTATTTTTTATAAATTTCTTGATTCTTATATTGTAAAAGCATTGAGACACCTGTATAATGCGTTTAAGAAATAAATTATTATTATTATTAATTATTATTATTAAAAGAAAGGTTTATATAACTTTGACTAAATGTTTTATAAACAAGCATATTATAGTGAAACCCCAAATTTAGCAAAAAATCATGCTATGACAGGAGCTATAAATCATCAAATGATTACTGTTAT